TAAAAATCCACATTTAAACAGTACAACCTGAAAATAATGATGACTGCTTAAAATGACACCACTTAGATAAAATATTAATCAGATGAAACAAAATTCAATTTTTGGAAAAATGCACCACCTCATACACAGACTGGTCAAGAATTTAGCAGCATCTCTCAGGAGATTCTGGTGTAACGGAGCTCAAATGCACATGGGATTTCTAGCACCTCCTGCACTGGGAGGCAGAAGCATATCAGCTTTAGTGGAGCACCAAGCCAGCCGTTATTAATGAAGCTGTCCAATGGGCTGAAACTCATCCACACATGAAAACCCAACAACAGATATTTCTACGCTCCATGAAAGCTCATTTTTCAGTACTATCACCACATGACATTTAACTGTTTAAAAGTAAGCTGGTAGTTAACTCGCAGTTGATTCCCATGCAGTTCTCACAGCATTGTGCTGAAGGTTCTGGACAGAAAATATTTTCATTGTAACCAAAATGCAGTGTGTTCAGTATCCTGACCCTGACTGAAGTCAGACTTAATGAGCAATTCATTTAATTTCTGTACAGCAGACACATGACCAGCTCATGATAACACTTCCACTAAGCTTGTTAATGTTCTTCTGTAAGGGCTGTTCATTTCAGAATGCGACATACTGCATTGCAAAGAAGTCCTCCAAACATGACACTCATGTTTTTCTTTCATTTACTGGCTCCAAACTCAACCAACAGTATGTTCATGTAGTACAATGCCTTGCCTTCAGGGAACTGGGAGGAGAAATTGGTCTAAGTGGAGGAAATCTTGAAAGCGAATGTAAGTAAAAAGTATGGTGACAGATTCAGAATACAGTCTTAAGAGATGACGCTACTTTGACTTTTCAGGCAATCTTGCTAAAGTGTATATAGCACGTAGGCCTAGTTGTATACACCAGTCCATTGGCCAGGAAGAGACTCAACCCAAGAATCTCAAGGAGATGGAAACGTGAAGTGTTCCACCACTTCGGCCAAGTCTCCACAGGACCAGTGATACCCAGAAGTAAATTAAGGGGGAGTTTCACACCCTCTGGAAAGGCCAATGAAGCATTGTTATCTTACCCTGAAAACCTTTATGGTCCAAGGAGGTATGGGAAGTTTTAAGATTTTCAAGATTTGAGAAGTCTCATCTAAGCAGCTTTAAAAGAATTGACTGAGAAGCCGAGAACTATTGGCACTTGTATTTAACAAATCTTGCAATCCCCAGGGATGTGTCAGCAAATCAGAGTAGAAACAAAGAGGCATGTTACTCCGTAGCATCAGAGTTAACATTCAAACTACATAATTTGATGTCAGCTCTAACGGGCACGGAAGAAAAAAGGCTGATGATTAGAGAGATAATAATCATGGGAAAAAAGGATACTGCCTTTTAAATAATGCCAACTTACATGGCTGATGGGAATTAACTCTTGTCAAGCTAGTTATCAAGTTCAGAAGTTCAGCTGACAAAAGTAACCATTGCCTAAAGCTACAAGGAATTGCTAAAGGCATTTTCTTTTGTGCCTGATGACATTCAGGAGGAAGAAAAAAAAAAATAGGCACAACAGGAGATCAATACAGCATATTGCCAGCTTTAGTGAACTGGAACTTGAGTCATCCCGAGATCCCACTGTAATTTTTTCATGCCCCAACACTGTTAAAAAGGAGGGGTTTTAATAATTCTTAGAAGACATGCTAGGATGTCATGCTAGGATATTCACACTAGGCAGCAAACTGGGCTGTTGAAACCATAGATTTACCTTGGGCAGGCATGAGCATTAATCAAGGAATACAGGCCTGTTCTGCAAGACAGTGAACCTAGAAGTCTTTGGGATGGACCAAAAAATTGTGTATGGATTCTTAGTTTAGAACATACATAGTTAAACAGCCTAAAGCCATTATAATGAAGAATTTTGTACTTCTATCATTAATTCCTATGAACAAAGCAAAGAAGTTGTTCCTTAGTTTTCAAACCAACAAAGGGTTGCAACATATCGGAAGCAGTATTGCACATGGCATGAACACGACCAACATTGCTCTAAGAACCTGAAAACACCACTTATGGTAAGGAACCACCTCAGCTGCAACCTGGCTGCTGGCATTGTCTTCCTATGTATCATTTCTAGAATACTACGGCCCAGAGAAGACTTCATCTTATGTAAAATCCACATTATTTCCTGCTTTATTAATCTTATTTGAAGACTGATAAGAGGAGTACCTGCAAGTCCGTGTTCTCTCCTCAACATGCACATCAGACTAATCTACAGTCCAATTCTGTAAGTATTTTAGATCAGATGAATGAGATTTCCAGCACAGTCATCACAAAGAGACAGATCTGGTGAAAGTTATGAAGTGGAACTTGCCCCATGCACACCCTTCTGTTCTACTTTTCAGTATGAACTAGTTTCATAACCACTATGAAAATAGTTAGGCGCACTGCAGCATGAATCTGAATGCGCAACTGCCCAACTTTCTTAAAATCTGAATTTTCAAGAACCAAAAGGATAAGAAAACTAAAATTACACATCACAAAACATTTTTTAAGACAAGGAATTCTTATTGAGCTACCAATGCTCTTAATTAATTCCACAGTTAAAAGCTGAGAAGGACAAAACATTCCTACTGTTCACTAGAAGACAACCAAGTACTTTAAATTCACATACTTGAATTAACACACACACAGACACAAAAAAAAAGAGACATGCTTAAGGGGAGGCCAAATTGTTTTATTTAATTTTTTAGTAACCAATTGGATTCTTGGCAGAAAGCTCTGCTATTTTCTGTTGTTGTGTTGGTGTGGGGTATTTTTTTTTTTTTTTTTTACTTCTTTAAAGGAATCAGCAGTGCTCAAATTGATGGGTTGGAATTTTGGTCAAATTCCAGTTAATTTCAAAAACACATAGATGAACAGGAATTCCAGATACCATTTCCAGAGCAGAGAGCAAAACTTCACATTTGTATGAAAATTCCATGTTTGGGTATCGATTGGGACACAGCATGTAAAACTATTGTCAGTAGTGCATGAACATTCACATTTGATCTGGAACCTTTAAATCAGAAAGCTGTACTCTCCTTCCAAAATTTTCGTTACCTTGTGCAAATCAAGTCAAGTCTTCATGTGTCAAGTACACACTTAAAATTGTCCTTATTTTATATACAAGACATCTACCATTCAGGCAGTGCAAAATACATCCTTTCATAACAAAACTAAAATGTACCTCTCAAAGTATGAACAAGAATATACACATAATACATGATGTACACTATTTACACAACCATAAAAAATATAATACAAGGAATTTTTTTTTTTTATGTGATTATAAGACTTGACAATCTTTTGCAAATTTAGTTGCAACAAGGCATGTTAAAGTTTCCTGGATGGAGTTTTCTCTTTGTCAATGACTCAAAGAGGTCTTGGAAACTAGGCTTGGACTTTCAGGAGAGTTTTCAAGTGGACTGCCATCAACTCCCGGTTTTGGTCAGACAGTTCAGCTGTGCCACCCACCCAGTGGCTGGGAGGCTTTGGAAGGACACTGGGAGATGGCGGGTCACTGAATTTTGCCCCAGCGTAACTTTCTTTTTGGCTCGCTTCAGCTAGGGTGATTGTTTTCTTGGACTTGGCATTTCTGAAGTTCTCTGTGTTTTTAAGTGGCTTTTTCTCCTGTTTCTGAATCACTTCTGGCGACACAGAATCTTGCCAAAAGTTCTCTATCTTTTTTGCCGAGGTGATCTTTGTCAGCGGCACGTTACATTTACTCTTCTGCCTGTTTATCTTTGGTTGTTCACACAGATGTAAACTGTGAACAGGCTGGCTGTAGGGGACGGCAGCCTTCTCAGTCTTTCCCATCTTGCTCTTTAAGAACTGCGGAGACAAAGAACTCGCATCAACGCGCCACCCCTCTCCTCAAGCGGTACCTCCCCACACAAAGCATCGGCCACTCTGGGGGACGCTTCACGCAAGGAGGAGGAGGGGAACAACGAGCCTCCCCCCGCTCCACGCCTTGCACAGCTCCTCCGTTATCACGTACGCGGCCGTGTCAGTGCCAGCCAGCAGCCGGGCCGGCACCACAACCCCGTCCGCCGGCGGCAGTAGCTCACCGCCTGCCTTCCCTCCCCTGCCGCCATGGGGCGCTGCGCTCCGCGCACGTCCCGCCCTGCGCCTTCAAGGGGCGGCGGGCGCGCGGCCAGCAGGCTAAATCCGGCTGTTGCTGGGCGCAACGGCGGCCGCCGATTGGTGGCGCCGACCAGCCAATCGAAGGCCGCGGTCCCTCACTCCCCCACCCCCGAGCCCCGTCCGAGCGGGCGTAACGGAAACTCTGTGCCCCCTCCCTCCACAGGCAGATAGGGGCCGAGCCGCCCACTGACCCCCCGCCGGCGGGGAGGGGAGCGGCCTCCCGGAGTGCGGAAGAAGGGGATGGGAGGAAAAAGGGCAGAAGAAGTGATCAGAAGTAGCGGAGCCCCGTGTTTACCTCCTTCCTGAGGGGTTTGCTGGGCGCGGATCTCGAAGGGGTGGGCGCGGGGGGCTCCTCTGCGGGGGCTGTTACCGTGCCGGGGGCGGCGGAAACCGCTGGCGCAGGGGGAGCGGTAAATTCGTCCGGGCCGTGCATGCCCAGCGGGGTTTTTCTCCCCAGGCCAGCGCGATGCTGTTGGTACTGTTGGTAGCGGCTGGGCAGGAGCCCCGCGGGGCTTGGCCGGATCTTTCCCTTCCTCCGCCGGACTCTCCTCAGCGCGGGCCGTGCGCTGCCCCCCGGGCCCGCCAGGCAGCAGCTAGGCTGGTTCTCACAGTTGCTGTCCCCTCTCCTGAGGCGCTGTATAAGAGCGGAGGGCAGCCGCCTGGGGTCTTCGGTGCCTGCCGAGATCCGAGCCAGGAAGGGCGGCGGCGCCGTGGTGGTGACCATGGTCGGACGTGGGTACCCAGAGCTGTACCGGGAAGAGGGGTCGAGCCCAGGAGGGAGTGAGAGGGTCGGGTGGCTAGGGAGTGTCTGCCGGAGCTTTGTGGGCTGAGATGGTGGCGCAATTAGATCCGCTGCTAGGAGAACATGGCGGGGGAGTGAAAGGAGCTGCTAGCAGCGCCCCGGTGTTGTTACCCGAGTGGGCACACCCCTTTCCGACACCGCACCAATCGCTATGCGAGGAGAGAGCAAGAAGCACGCCTCTTCTCTGCATCCGCCAATCCCGACGAAACGACTGCCTCTCTGGCCCCGCCTCTGCCAATCAGAAGCGACACAAACACTTGGGGTCACGCCCGCTTCCGCAGGCAGCCCAATCGGAACAGACACAAACAGCGGGCACGCCCCCGTCTCCGAGTCACGGGCCCGCAGTGCGAAGCGATGGTACGGGACAGGCCGTTCTCCCTGTGAGCGCCACCGGCCAATCAGAAGGCACAAAAACAGCCCCGGCCACGCCCCCGCTCTCTCCGCAGCCAATCGAGGGGGACGTAAACAGGCAGTGGTGCGCCCCCTGGTGGTCGGCGGCGCACTGGTGAGCAGGCACGCGTCGCCTGCTATGGAAGGGCCGGCGCCGGGGCCCAGGCTCGGGCCCGTGGTGGCCGGGCTGCCAGCCGCGGCGGCGGAGGGACCCGGTGGCGAGGCGGCGGGACAGAGACGGGACGAGCGCAGCCTGGAGGCGCTGAGCCTGGCTGCTGGCGGAGCGGCGTCGGTGGCGCGACAGCAGCTGCCGGAGGGGCGGCGGGCGACGCTGGCGAGCGCCCTGGAGCTGGAGGGGACGGTGCTGCGCGAGGGGCGCCTCACCCAGTTCGTAGCCAACAACCTGGAGCGGCGGATCCGGCTGAGTGGCGCCCCGAGGGGCGAGCTCCCGGCGGCAGCGGCGGCGGGGGCCGGCTGCTCCATCCCCGCCATCGACCCCGGGGCGCTGCAGGACGTGGTGGCCCTGGCCGGGCAAGTGGCGGCGCAGGTGGACGAGCTGCTGCGCAACGTGCACTGCGGGCTGCAGGCCTTGACGGCCCTCAGCGTCGGCTGCATTCAGACCTACCGCGACGGCGTGGAGAGCCTGGGCGAGGCCGCCGACCTCAGCATCCGCGCCATGTACGCGCTGGTGGCGCGCTGCGAGGAGCTGGACCGCGCCATGCAGCCCGTGCCCGCCCTGGCCAAGCGCATCCGCGACATGAAGGGCACCCTGGAGCGGCTGGAGGGGCTCTGCAAGTAGCGCCGCCCCGGCGGGGGTCGCCGCCCCGCCGCACTGCCCCCGGTGCGTTGAGCGACGAGCCGCCGGGGATGCCGTTGCAGTGCCAGTGGCGCGGCCGCTGGGCCTGCTCCGGGCGCTGGACGGGGCTTGGTCGCTCCGACAGGCCCCGGCTCGGCGGCTGCCCGCCCTGCCAGGCCTCACGCCGGGGCTGCCAAAGGCCGTCCTTCAGGCGGCAGCTCTTCCGCCCCGGTAGACCCGCCGCCGGGCCCGCTCTCCACCTGTACGGCCTTCCTCTCCCTCTGTGCGCCGTACGTCACCAGCCGAGATCCGTAGCCAGTTCGCTGGTATTAATGTGGAGGAAGTGAGATATTTGCAACTGATGAAGGAAAAGGTCCTAGTTGAAATCGCGGGGTAAATGGCAAACGGTGCTTCTTAGCTTCAGCTCATTAAAAGAATTTGGATTCCACATGCCTTATGCTTTCTATTTATTGAGGGCTAGGAAAAGCTAACCAATCTTAATGAAAAGCAGCTGTTAATATTTTGTTTTAAACCATATTTGAAATTGTTGTGAACACTTGCTTGCTGCTTACAGGCATACATGCTTATTTGTAATTGACTTGGTGCCTGATGAGTAATTCTCGTGCTGTTACAGCAAGTAAGGACACAGAACGCTGCTGTCTCTTACAGGACACAATTTTAAGGGAAGAGGAAATTTAATATATATAGCAAAGACACTTGCTTACAGAGAATATAAAATCCATGGAATATAATTGAGATTCAGATAACAAATCTACATGCAGAGTTCTAAATAAAAGCCTTCAGATAAAATGTGCTTTGCCTGTTAGTCTCTGCAGTTTTTTCAGTGCAGAAGTTTAAATGGCATCACTCTGAAATGATCCTGTGATTTTGCTGTGGGGCTTGTGTTGGTTCTTTTTCAACTGGGAATATACTTGTTTAATTAGATGAGGAATATATGACATGAGTATATGACTAACATAGTTTTGGGGAGTGTATAACGTGAAGCTTTCGTATGTGCATCACTGTATGCAGAAGTGATTTTGCTGTATCAGTAAGTGTTTCCTCTGAGGCCTGAGAGTAGCCAGATTCTCTGATCACTATGGTTCCTATGCAACTAGCCTCTTAGATGATGCTCTTAGCAAGGTGTTTAGGACTCAAAAGCTTTTGTAACAAGATTTCCAGAGAGAAATGATCACTGTGATCTTGTGTATATATAGTGGTGCTTTCAGTGACCAGTGGCTCCTAAAAACCTTGGGGCAAAGGCAGCCAGAAATACTACTCAAGTCTAGTAACTTCGGGTTCAAGAGCTGATAGGTTTACAACGGGTGCAGCTGTTACCCCACCATAATCTCATTAAAAACACTGAGTGAGGGGCGGATGCTGTGATAGACTGTGCTGTATGTAGACAGTACTGAATTGTAATAAAATAATTTGTTTTTATGGCACCCTGGTTAGCGCAATACCAGTCTCTGGCCTGTTTTGGGTTTCTCAACATGGCCATGTGTTTCCACCAGCACAAGGTGTATTTCACGTGTGACCCAGTGGGAGGAGGAGGCTGGAAGTGGGCTATGCCGAGGTCACGCTCTTTGCGGTCACAGCTCTTGTGGCGCTGTGTTCTGGGGAATAGCTGTGGCTCCGGAAAGGGACCAGTGGTCTTACAGAGATAAGCGGAGAGAGAAAAATGAGAACTTAACTGCCCCTGCCCATGGGCCTAAGAAAATACTAAAGATTTCTTAACACCTCTGCAACAGCTGTACTCTTAATAGTTTTGGGGTGTTTCTCTTGGGAAAGTTTGAACTTCTTTATCATGGAGACACAGTAGTTTTGCTAAGTATGTTTTGTATATGTCGAGAGTGAAAACCAAAGTTCTATCTTGCTTAACTTCTGCATATTGTTGAAATGTTCATGCAAACTTGTTTGTGTGGCCACATACATACACCTGTGCTTTATTCACAGAGGCTAAGGTGAACCTTTTAAAGCAGACTTGTTTCAGTACGCTGTCAGTTTTCAGTAGCATTTCATTTAGTCACTTTCAGCAATAATTCCCTGCTAAAATTGTCAAGTCTGTAGAATAAAATGATTACTTTCATGGTTTTAATTGGTAGTGATTAATTGTCATTGAAGTACTTCACTTCTTAATTATTGCTCTTATTTGGTAAAATAATTTGAAAGCTAGTTTAAACTCTGCTCCTGCATCTGCAGAGACACTTTAATGTGATTGCAGAGCCGGTTTCAGCCTAGGTCCTCAGGCAGTAATTTCTGACAGTGATATCATTCATGTGATGAAAAAGGGATGACTAGTGAATTACAAGCATGAAGGAAGAAGTGATTACACTGTTTAAATTTGTTTTTTAATATCTGTCTGAAAGCTTTAGCCTGTTTGAAGGGCAGACTTCCCTGAGCTTGGTGAAGTTGATCCTGTTCCCAGGTGTCTTACGTTTGCCATCCCTGGGGCAGGCATGGCTGAAACCATGCAAGCCTGTTCTGTGCCACCACAGTCAATATTGATGTGGTACCACATAGCTGCATGGTCCTTCTGCAGCGAGAGGCTTCTGTACTGCTTTTTGATCCTAGTCCAGGCTTTCTTGTGCTGTTAATTTTGGCACTTTGCAGCTTCTGGTTGTTGAGCGTGAAAACTTTCAGGTTCTTTGAGTCTTTTTTGCTTAACCTGTTGTTGAGTGGAGTACAACCATGTTTGGGTTTTCCAAGACCTTCAGATGGGTTTGCATATATTTTCTTGCTTAGTCACTCAGCTTTTCAGTTGACCTCCTTTTCCTCCTTAGCTGCCAAGTGAGCTTTCACTGTACCAAGATGGACAAGGTCAAAGTAGAAAACTAACAAAATGATGTGCAGAGCACTAAGCAAAGCTAGACACAAAATTAGCTGTGCCAGGGATGACCTCCCTGCTCTGATAACTGACAGTGACTCTGTTAGGAATTAGGTTAGTTTGATTATTCTTGTTTTTTTTTCCCTTCAGGAAAAGTGTCAGATCTGACTATGAAAATCCTTTTTCTGATGAAGCTGTGGTTGATTCTGCTTCCTTCACAACCTTTTTTTTCCTTCCCTCCTTTGTAGAGCTTTATATTCCCTGACTGAATCAATTCCATATGCATGCTATTTAAAGGAGCTTTACCAGATAAAACCTTACTGCAGCTGAAAAAAATCCAATCAATCACCCAAAGCAGGAATGAACATCACTGACATTTCACCTTTAAGGCTTTTCTTCAGTCTTACTTAATTGCATCAGGTATTCAGTAAGTAAATGTATCAACTTTGTGTGTGTCTTGCTGCCAGCCAGACACTAAAATACATAAGTCTTTGTCTGGAATGTCCAGATTTATGGTGGTACTTACACCCATGAGTAAGGTCTTGGCTGAGTTACCACTATGAGGTACAGCACGCGAGTTGAATCCAAGAGTGTATCATCTCTTAGCTCACAACTATTCTAAAATGTGTTTAAATAGCATGGCTGTATTACCAGAAGACAACCTCCTTAATTTTAAAGCTTTAAAGTTGGCAGCAGCTTTCCAGAGGAGTCAGTAGATCAGTTCTCATAGAAAACCTTGTTAGCTGAAACTGAAAGGTCTTGAAAATAGAGGCCTCTTGCAATAGGTGTCATCCAACATAAGACAGGGTCTTGCTGTCAGATGCCTTGTCCTAACCAGCACTGGAGTGTACACCTGAGAACAACTTTAAAAGATTAGCAGATTATGTTGCTGTCACAGCCTGTGCTCTTATTGCCAGGAAATTGCTTTGAGAAAAGAACAGTGCTTTAAAAATGATACTGGGTCCACTTAGTCCATGTTTGTGGATATTGACTCCTAGCCCTATCCAGGAAACATCCTGGATCCTCCTGCCACGCATGTAAGAGCACACATGGAAGAGAGAGATTCGTGATGTCTCCTTTAGAAAGCTTACCACAGTATTGCATCAGATGCCGGAACTGAAACTCAGGGGCATTTCACATTTGCTGCTCCAGCTTGGTGCTTGGGGCAGGCTTTTGTCATCATCAGCCTCTGCTATTCAAAGTTCCAGGAACAGAGATACAACAAATGGACTTGGGCCCTGACCTTCCACCCTGTTGAGACAACTGTAGCACTATGCCCTTATCTCATAACAGGAAAAATGATAAAGGATCAAAATTTCAAAGCTTCCTGCTGTTCTGATTCCGTCCTACTGTTTATACACATTAGAAGCAATGCAAAAAACCCAAACCAAAATAAAAAGCTATAAAAAGCCCCTTCCCCTTCTGCCTCCAAGACTGCTGATTGAGCTCTTCCCAAATCCGAGAGGATGTAAATAGTTTGACAGTTTCCTAAATAATAGTTACTGGCTGTCAAGGATAATGTGCTTGAGATGCCCCCCCCCAGTAGTGTTGAATCCTAGTGAGACTTAAGGGAACCTGAGTTTAAAGAAAATTAAATACTACATTTTAATTATAATATTGACAGAGTTGGAAATGGGGCAGTCTACACAACACTCGGAAAACTGGGATCTGTTGGTTGTTAGCAGGGTTGGGCTGCTGTGTGCATTGGTCAGGATGCAGCAACATTCATTAACTGGGAGAGCAGAGAAGCAGAGTTAAAACTATCTTGATTGTTTTCCTAGAAAGTGCTGTCACTGTAATTGGTCCCAGAATTAGAGTTAATGTTGCCGTGATTAATTACTGTGAAGTATCTTTGTTGAGAGTTGATTTATTTCAAAGAAGGGTAATAATTTATGTCAATATTTTTATTATCATAAATGCTAGTTAGTGAGGGAAGAATCCCAGGATTTTGTCCAATGCTGCATTTCTTGTCACTGTGTGACCTACCATGCTTTTTCCTTGTTTTCATTGTGGGCAGTGATGGAAGAATTCCCAGCATTGAACTGGCTTGTGAGACAAAGAGCCATACCCAGTAAGTGGTTAGGAAGCACTTTACGTTCAGCTTCCTTGTCTGGAAGTACCTGTAAGTGAAGGGGAAAAAGCCCTGCAAACTTGCTAGACAATCACTGCTAATTTCACAGTTACGTAATAATCCTGGGTATCTGGTTTGTCACTGGGATTGTTTGACAACACTCGGTAGCAGAAAATCCCAAGTGGAAATCTTGGCTTTTTAATAAATTAGTTTTCTGTCTATGGCATAATATCAGGAGTGAAGTTTACCAGCCACTTTCACTCTAATGAGATTCTTCTTGTCTGAACTTGAACTGCTGCCGTGCAAGGAAATGCTACCCTGAAAATAAAACCCTTTAAAGTCAGAACATTTTGCTGCCTAAGCAGTTTGTTTACTTGGTGGATTTTTTTTCCCAGGCCGGGACTTTCCAGTGACGTGTCCTCAGCTGGAAGGGGAGGGGAGTTTCTTACCACTGAGCAACATGGGGATTTTCCGTTTTCCAAAACTCTTCCCTCCTGCCATTTATGGTTGATGATATGGATCTAGTTTGGTTTTGTTTCCCTCTTTAAAGAAAGAGATGTGCAACTGGGAGCCTTTCATTTCTCCTGCTCCTTTGTCATCAGCTTGCTTTTGTTTGCTGAGAGCACTGGAAGGTTATAACGGTGTCAACCCCCTGCTCACTGTTTTCCACAGCCACCAGCTGTGCTGTCTTTCCCCTGTGAAAACCTTGTTCCAGACCTCATCCGATTTCAGCATTTTTATTTGATCCTGCTTATCTTCTGTCTTCAGTTGCATGAGTTGCGCCATCAGTGGTGTTATACTACCAAGACACCAGCTTTCTTACTTGGCTCAGTTATGTCCTCTTTCAGCTGCCCTTGCTGTTTTCTGTCCCTGTTCTGCCTCAAATTCAAAATGGTTGTCTGCAAGTCCTGGCTGAAGCTCGCTTCTGCTGCCAGCTGACCTATTCTCATTTGATGTCACCCATTCCTTTATCCTTTAAAATACCTCCATACATTACCTTATGCTTACTTGTGCAATGATTTCCATGCTGCTGTCATTTGCAATGCTCCTCGCATCCAGAATATGCACCACCAATTGTCTGTTTTATAAATTAACCTTCAGGAGCAGACAAGGTAGAAACTACAGAGCAGATTTCTACTTATTATACTAAACAGAAAGCATTACAGGAAAATTAAACATCTATAACAGAAGAAAGCTCAATCTTATGACCTGGTTCTGATCTATTTTAATAATGTGCCAACAAATGCAAATAAAACTGAACAAACTACTTGCAAAATTATGCTAGTATAACTGTGTGCTATGATGTATCTGGTCAGGGGTGGGAAAATCAAATCGGCTGTTGCTTACACAGGCTCTTGAGGACAGGGTTACAGAATACCAAATACCATGTGACATGGTGAGGTGATGCAATATTTGTAAAATGCGTGCAAGACACCAAAGCAAACTGTGTTGTTTGTCCTTTTAATCATAGAAAGATTAAGGAAATACTGGAGTAAGACTACTGCTAAGTGGGATTATGGTCTCCCTGCCTTCCTTTTTGCTTGTACACACACAGGGCCCTCACTGACTTTACTGAGATCTGTATATATTTATGTAGAAATTAAAAATAGAATGTGTTATATTTGTTACTTGACACAAACCTTGGAAAGGAACAGTGGCAAAGAAGGATGGGCTTGAATATTAGGAGAACAGGATATGCCAACCACTTTCTCCCATTTGTTCACTAAGATTCAGATACACATACTTTAGTATGGCAAATAAATTCCTTTTTAACAAGATTCTTCTTTCCTTACTGTCAGTGATGCACAGTCGGTGGACAAAGTCAGAACCAACGGATTAATTTGTTTTAAAACAAAAACTAATGTTGGGCTGTACTGAGTTGAATAGCTGTAAAAACTCTAGCTTAGAAGTTGTTAAAATTCAAGGCTTAATAATGGTCAACTAGGTAATTCTTAAGAAGTATTATTAAAATTCCTACCAGCAATGCCTGCAGGCTTCAGTCCAACTAAATGTCAGGGTCCTTTTCTTACACTCTTAACTGAACCGTAGGTAAGTGACGTAACTGTTTGGACATCCAGTGAAGTAGGAGTCATGGAACATGTTTCCCCTATGTGTTAATGTAAACCAGAAAAATTGTGTAACTTGTTGATGACTACTGGAATTTACACAGCACTGTAGAAATTTTTGGTGGCAGCATTAATTCGTCAGCATTTGGGGTTGTGAAATCGCATGTACATAGCCTTTGTCCTTGGTTATTTACGAGCTGTGCCTCCAGACAGGCATGAACATTTTGTCTCAGAAACAGCCCCATTTCACTAACAGACAAAACAAGGACTGAGACAAACCTACATTTGTTTCTCTATGAATCTGTAAGCGAGACATTAATTCATAAATATCTTGCTGATAGTCACTTGTATAATACTTTGGAAAAAACCCTTTCCTATGTTGAACATAGGCAATCAACTTCTCCTTGCACAACGTATCTTCAGCAGCATGACTCGTCACTGCTGCCTGCTAGATAGTGTACCTTTAATGGTATGAATTACTTCTGTGAAAAGGGAGCTCGGTGATGCAAACACAGGAGTCATATCAAAAGCTTTCTCTGTTATATCATTCTCTTTATTAGCTTTTTCTTTCCTTCTGATCCCTTTTCATTTCTTACTAGTTCCTTCAGGGAATGCCACAACTGAGCCCTTTTTTCCATTCCCAGCTTTCCTTCTGGTTAGTGGATCATTTTTCTAGGTTGCACTGCTGTTTTACGCTACCTCTAGGAAACTAAATCAACAAAGACAGTTTGTGCATACATCGCACTGGCACAGACAGTGTGCTAGCAGGCTGAAATACTTGGCTGTGCTTTGGAAACCTATTGGTAGCAGGCACGGTTGAAAGTGAATTCTCACTGCAAGAGAAGAATGTTTTGTGAGCTGCTACAAAAGTGGCATGGCCCTAGGGCTGAAAAGGATCTGAGATCCCACAGGGAGCTCTGCAAGCCTGGCTCCAGGTTGCTTCTTGAGAAGTAGGAAGAAAGAATAAATAGGTTAGATGGTAAATTGCCTGTATTACCATAGATCTGCCCAGGTGGATCTGCGGAGCTGGCAAGTACTCACTGCAGCCACTGTCTCCTTCAGTGACAGAGATTACTTTATCTCTGAGGTGATTACTACTGTCGAGACTGGGTACACATTTATTTATCATCCCTTTGGATTTCATGGTTCATGTAGAAGAAAATAATACTTAGCATTAAATAGATGGTGAATGTAATTGAACCATCCTTTGTAGCTCACACTCTATAAAAAAAAGAGAGAGAAATTACCAGGTTTTGTACATGTGGTTTTGCCACCCAAAGGTAAAAAAGCTTCTTTATGACAGTGGGTGTCAGTAACAGATGGAAAAAAACACAGCTAGATTAGGAACAATGGTAAATGTAACCTGAGTTTGCTGACTGTGGTTCTAAGAGCTGCCCTGAGTTTTAACTTTGTTTTGGTCTTTTCCACATTGTAAATACTAAAAAATACAGCAATAAAATTCCCATGCAGTTTTTTTCCTCTTAAAGTATGAGCAAAATGTTTATTTCCACATCTGGATTAATAATGTCAGTTGTGTTCTTTTATTAGTTTAGTTTTACACATAAAGCTGACCCAGATTTCCTTCAGATCCTTGACAGATCACAAATCTAAGAAGAATCAAGGTTATGTTTTGATACTTTGTGGCAATACCAGCTATGTGTTAAGGCAGCATGAACAGCCCCTTTCCTTTTCCTGCCGCTGCCCTGCCCACCTTTTTTTCCTGACCATCTGATGCACTTCCCTCTTGAATTTATCCATACTGCTTATGCAGCTGCAGAATGAACCAGAGCGAGGAACTCAACCCAGCTGAGCCCAGCAAAGAGGGAGGGGGAAGCTTGTTTGCCTTCTGGCTGCATCGATTCTCTGCTTTGTTCCACTGCACAGGCAGTTGCTCAGCACAAGGGAGGAATCAACATGGCAGAAGAAAGAGTGTGCGAGCCTGATCGCACAGCTGAGATAAGGAGAGTGCTCTGGGAGGGCTTGCAGCTGCTACCACTTAAATCACGTTGACCTACAGCCTACAAAAGTGCATTGCATGTGCTGGTGGTTGGGTTGCTCCCAGGAAAGAGGCCCATGGCTAGGAGCAGGGACGTACTGGAAACAGTCATTAAACAATGCCTTCGATTTTAATTTTATGCTATCAGATATATAAACACTCTTCCTTGTGTGGCTGAAACTTCAGCTATCGAGTGGGTAAAGAGCATTACCTAGCAACAGCTCTACCCATTTTGAAGCTGGTACATACTGCAGTGTAGAGAAGAATAGAAAATAATGAAGTGGGCTGTGTTCCAGGACAAAACTGCCTCATCTTTTCATTTTATCTGCTCCCTCTGTGGTAATCCGATTTTGCATCTGAGATGCAAAAGTTCAGAACAGGCTTGCTATTTTAAACCATCATCACCTTGTGTATAATGAGCATTGTGTCCTTACTGTTTCTACTCATTTGAAACTCTGCATCACCATTCAATAATTTACATTTAATAAATCAGTTTGATTTGTGACTCTCTGCTGTTGTGTACCAGCTTTTGCTGGCATGTTTTTCTGATTTTCCATGTTAGAGAACATGTATAGGAAGGGCCTCAACCATTGTCTACAGAGGCTGATAAAAGTCTTCCCCTGAAGTTTAGAAAGCTTAGAACACGTCACATGGCAGGTTTCTGACAAAACATCCAATTATAGTAAAAAATACACTACTAAACTCATTTTAGCAGATTTAGCTCCCAGTACATGGAAGGTTATGTGGAGATTTTCCTCCCCAAAGGGACTTTTGAAAAGCAGTTTCTGTAGAGCAGAAGTAGGTACAGGAACTCACAAAGTGACTTTTCTGAAGAAGTGTAACATTTTCCAGTAACAGCCTGCACTGTGCATAAAGATTTAGCCAAAACCCTAAACTTCAAACTACTTGGAAATATATGAAATTCATTTCAGGCAAGTACAGAGTCATCTTTGTACCTCCTTCCCTTTCTCAAGGACCTTAATCACTGTCAGTAACTCGCTGAAAGTCCATCTGGACAAGGATGATTTCATACTGAGCAAAGGTTTGAGTACAAAGGTTTGGGTTTTCTTTGCATTAATCTCAGCCTAGTTACAGTAGGTAAAACCAGCGTTGGGAAGAAGTGGCATGGCTTCAACTGTAGTTGTGTGAATAGCAATGGACCACAGGCACTCTGTTCTCACAGTTTATCCCAGAATGTCCATCATAAGTTGCCACTGTGCTATGAAGCCTAAAGTGGTGAAAGTGTGAAAGAATATTTCTAGAGAATGAGAAACATATTTCAAATGAAGAAAAAAAAAAAGAAATCTTATCCTTTCTTTAAGGAATGCTTGCAAGATGTGAATTTACAACCTGTACAACATCATGGTCTACAATGACATCTGCCAACATACTAAGTTTTGCTAGATCAGTGATGCTGCAGGTGTATATGCTAGGATATTCCTTTTGCTCTCTATTTCGAGTGAGACATTTTTGGGAAAGAATAGTATTTGTTCTTGTAAAGCTCATTCCCATACCAACAGAAAGCAAAACTAACCTCTCAAGGGCAACATTTGCGCATCTGCTTTTATATGTATATAAATGCATACACATTTTTCATAATTTGTATACAATATAAATTATGTTCAGATTTGATTTTTATAAAGCCTGTGTGGCTGCCAGGCGGATCACTTTGCTTTATTTCTTTCCTTTGTCTTTGGCCAGTTTCTTGCTGTATCTGCAGGACTGCAAACCCTTCAAGAAAGAGAATGAGTCTTCATTTACATTTGCACAGTAGTTGCACATGTTTTGTATAATAAAGCCATATAAATAAAATGAGGTCTGTATGTATGTTCTCTGGTACTAGATTATAGCTCATACATGCATTATTCTTCACAGGCTTTATATTCACGTATATCCATAGTATACGTATCTATAGGTACAAACTTATAATGCAAAAGGTCTGAGAGAGTGCCTATGGGTAATAATATTTTCTTTGTATGACTGATCACATGAGAAAAAGATTTCTGCCAGTATAGCAACCCAAAAATTCATCATCACGTACGCAGCTTTGTAGGCTGAAACGCTGACCCTTTCTCAGTTATTTCAGGCTGTAGAGGAGTGATAACCCTGCAGTAGTTATTGACTGTCTTAGTCTGCCTCCATCACTAATCAGGACCTCAGTTACTCCATTAGTTTTAACCACAGACTCAATTCAGGGCAAGATTTTTACTAAGGTATCCATATTCAGGCAGTAGAGAAACTAGAAAGTGTAGCAATAGAACACTGTTTTACTTTGTGGAATCCAGTCACTCCCCAGCCCAGATCCAAAGACTATGAGTCATGCTTTCCACTTGCATAAATCAAATGAGTTTCTTGTATATTATGTCATGCTTTTGCCTACTGCTAGTCATTTTCCATTGTGAAATGTTAGTTGGTTGATAACTTTATCCATACTCAAAGCACACTACTACCATATTATTTCATTTTGTGCAGTAGACTGTATATTCTTAAATGTTACATGCAGCTGTTTCTTATAGTGTAGATTTCCATTGAAAATCATACTTCACATCTGATGTGAGTAAGGCCTCAGATGTCTAGGTCAAACCATAAGAACTCTAGGGAGACCAGTGTTAGTCTTCCAGGAATGACAGGCATCTTGCTTATACATTTGCTGTCCAGCTTCTTATCTGTTCCATCAAGCACACCATCATTTCAGCTGCAGGGGAACAATTAGCAAGGCATCTTGTTTTTCAGGCCTACTAAGTGCTTGAAGTCACAGCTGTAGTCCTTTTAGATGAACAGCAACCCTCTGGACAGACAGACACCTTCTTCCCGTTGCACAGGCACACGTTTTCCCAGTTCCTTCCCAGACAGATCTGCTAAGTACAACACCTGCTAAGTAAACCATCCGCCATGTCTGCATGTCAGAGCTGAAACTGTTAATGGCTGCTGTACTGGTGTTAGATTTATATGTCATCATTACAGCACAGACGTTTGGTGATGTAGTCTGATACCTTATGGCAATTATCCTAAGCATGACACCAAATTCAGTGCCAGGGATTTAAAGCAGCTGCATCTGCGTGCTCCCTGCCTGTACACAGATTTACTTTACCGGTTGAACTGATGCTTGAGCTGAAAATGTTGTATTTCCAGAATGAAACCGTGAAGGAAAATTTAAGATTTAAATAAAGACTTGAAAGCAAGCTGCTTATACTGCATCCATTAGTCAGTTTCATTACTCTTACAGAAAGGAGGGTGTAGTCTGTGTTCTACTAAAAGTCTGGGTTGTCTTCTGTTGGAAATTTTATTAAGAACTGTATCATAATCTCACACTAGGGAGTGACTCCAGGAGTTGATTTTGCTATTTTATGCTGTTTCCTGTTTACTTTGGGCAGGAAAAGTATTTGTACTTAAGCTTGCATCATTTTAAGTCTGTGAGATCATGGTGCCCCCTAATGTTGTGAAGACTACAGACTGGTATTTTTGTTTATGATGTCCTCTCAAAGCTTTCTATAGGAAGAACACTGTAAATGACATTTTATTTTCTTAAATATATTGCAGCAGAAAAATAATTTGTCTCAGAAGTTAGGTTCTTAATTATTTGTTGACACCGAACAAATAAGTTAAAAAGTGTTGAGCTCCTAGCATTTTTTTTGAGTACATACTTAGCCTTTTTAAATTTGGAAGCCTATGTATGTATTAGAGAACTTAACTATAAGCAACCATAATACTAACTTTTCATTTCTCAAAGTATGTTCTCACTCTACTGTTTTTTAATTTTGGTTTAGCTTCTGATACTATTAGAATCTAAGTATTATTGGCATAAAATATGACTACAGTACCAAAGAAGTTAAAATATTTCTTCAGATTTAGACAGTACTCACCCCTCCCCTGAAAGTTTCATGCACACTGAAAGTATATCAGTCATAAAGGAACACTGAAATAGTCATCCATTTTGTCATAAGTCAGTTTGCCATGAACATTAAAACCAATAAGCAAGAAATTAATTAATTGAATCAGTAAATAAAGCATAAAAATATATTTTTCTCTGTTCCATATATGGTAACTTACAAATTTGTAGCATTGAGTTTCTTTACAGGTGAACACCTATACCCAAAGTGGAAAAATAATACCGTATGAATCATGTTTGCATACAGTTAGCTTCTTTCATAATTACTTTCACTTGAATCCTGTGGTAGTCTCAGGTTAGCAAATAATATGTTTGATCTTTGTTTTTTTAAGAAAATGTATTTACCAAGTAAGAGTCAGAAATGTCTGCTTCACAGAACATCCTAAGGGATGTTTTTATTTTCTTTTTACTTTATTACTTTATGAACAGGTGGAAAATAATGTTATACTGAAACAGAATAGTAATAGCATTGTTGACCTATGTCAGTATAGAAGAGGGCAACACCACATGTTCATCCTTCAGGCAAAATACATAATTTATCCACTTTGCACAGAACAAGAGAACAAGTAAGTTAAATTGTCTAGCTACTTACGATATATGACAATAAATGTGTAAAATTATTCATCAGCAATAATTTGAGTAAATGTTCAGTTTGTAATTAGGAAAGTGTTAAAGTGTGTGTGTGGGGGTAGTGTGTGGTATTATTTTGATGGGTTTAAGTCAAGGGAGAACACAAATGCAGCTCTCCACTATCTGAAACAATGAGCTGAAACCAAAGAAGTCAATGTACCCATGGCACAAAGGCAGAATTGGGAAAATGACTTCCTGATCATAGTGTCTTCTCTGCCAGGAAAAGCATTTAAATTGGTGGGCTGAAACCAGAGTAAGAATACAGGCATCTGAATGCCTCTAGATGAAAAGAGAACTGATACAGAGAAAAGTATCATTTTTTTCATAGACTGCTAAACAGTTGCTTTCTCAAAGCAATCCCTGCAACAAGCACCACCGCCACCTATGTGCTCCTTGCTCAGACACAGCTTTGTCGGCTTGTGAAGGTGACATGAATACACCTCTGCCGTTACACCAGGAAAAAATCATCTTTACTCCTAATGTTACAAAGGCAGGAAAGTATGCCCATTCACAAAGGCTGTCTGGTGTCACACGCGAACATCGTCCCGTGCCTGCGTAAACTGCTTCAAAACATCTCACGTGACAAAGTCCAGCCTAAACTATTTATGCACAACATGTAACAGCTGTTAATAACTGAGTTTTCCAGACCATAAGGACATGTCACAAAGCACAAGATCAAGTTAAGAGTAAATAGAGTTGCTTGAAATCTGTGTTTTATCTGTGGGAGGCAATGCAGCAACACAGTCTCAAACATGAATACTCTATTGTTTGGAATAATCTGGAGAACGCTGGTCTTTTGGGTGACTGAATTTTCCCCATGTAAAATTCGCTAAGGAATACACTGAACAATGAAGACAGCAACAGGAATTATTCCCTGCTTCAGTATTCTCTGTCCTGTATCCCATTCCTAATGTCCTATTTATAGCATATTCACTTTTAAAATCCAGATGAAAACCACCACTCCCATGTCACCATCAACTGATCAACACAGCAACACTCATCTTACTCCACAGAAGCTGTGACACTGCTTCCTCCTTTCTCATTCAACAACTGGCTTCAAACTGTCATCATTTTTTAGTAACTGATGTGGAGCAAGAAGGCATGTGGCAAACAGACTCAAGTATCACAACTCAGGAAAAGCCCTAGAGTGTTGTGAAGGTGCTCTGCTGACCAGCTAGTCAGAGGGACTTCCTCAACTTGGCTCAGAACCACCAAAATGCTGAACTACGGATGATACTTGGCTAAGCTCATTTTGCTTCATTTATGCTTCATTCAACTCCCTACCTTATATTTAAAAATTCTAATTTTATCTGCCTTGTGCATTGCTAAATAAAGCCAGATGTATGTATCCTCCCAGTTTAACTATAACATATTCATGCAGCGTTTTTGCTCTGTAGCTGGTTTGTTTTAAATGTGTATCAGAATCTTGAGATTATTGCTCATTCATATGTTTTTGTACTATTCTTTACCTCTGAAATGGTTTTGTTCCTAATTGTGCCATACCACTGATGTTAATGTATGTTGCTCCTAATTAACTGAAATAAGAAATGGAGTCCTTTGCTTCTTGCTTCTTGCTCTTTCTGAACACCCCTTGCACTCTCACTTTCTTTTCTAGCTGGTCTTCAGCACCACCTGGTGTCTAACTGCTGCTTGTTTGTTCTGTATCGGAAAAGTCAGCACCTTATTTCAAACATAATTAAGTAATGTTTTAAGGTAAGTGCATTTAACAGTTAAGGAAAGGACTAAAATAGTCCTTCGATGTAGCAAGATTTTAAATTTTTATCTAGAATTAGAAAACTAGTATCTGAAGATCACAAAAGCCCTAGAGGACAGTCAGAAACTTCTAATGTAGTATGAGAACCCAATGACTCAGATATGCAAACTACTTAATTGACTACTTCAATTAGTATGAAAGGATATTCTATGGAAGAAACTATGTCTAATAAAATCTAGAGTGATAAAATGCAGCAGGAAACAGTCACCTGCTGCTCGGGTTGGGCTGGGTATAGGTCAGTGGGTGGGGAGCAATTGTATTGTGCATCACTTATTTGGATTTTTGAGGGGGAAGTGCAGGGCTTATTAGTTCATCTCTATTTAATTTTATTATCATTATATTATTATTTTACTTTAAATTATTAAACCGTTTTTCTCTCAACCCATGGGGTTTTACCTTTTATTCCCGCTGCTTCTCCACCCCATCCCACTGGTGGGGGAAGGTGAGCAAGTGGCTGCGTGGTACTTAGCTGCTGGCTGGGCTCAAACCATGACACCAGTACAGGGGCATCTCCGTTATAGTAGCGTATCTATTACAAGCAGGCTAGCACAGTTCCAAGATTAGCTGGCACAGAGATCCATCTATTTCCACCTCCAGTCTCAGCTATTTGCAAACATCAATAGAAAACCAAAAGCACAGCAAACACGTCTGTCCAAGCCTCTTGCTATTTTCAGCTCATGATGTTTTCTGAGCCTGACGCAGTCATTTAACAGCCTTCAACTACTTTCTCTTTCTAGTTCCTACCCAGTCTCTCTTACGCCCACATAAACTCTCCACATGGGCAACAGCCTTTCCCAGGGAGTCCGGAAGCTCCCGACAAACGATCCCTCCAAAACCTCCAGCCCAGCTCCCACTGCTTTGGCTCGGAGAGGCCTGTGGCGCGGCCTGGCTACCTCCTCTCCAGGCTGAGGACCCGTACGGCCGTCCTCTTCCAACGAAAACCTCGCTTTCCACCGGAAACCTTTCCCGCCCCAACATGCCTTTTTCAGAGACAAGAAACCAACCAGCACCTCTGGCTTGTGGAGCTACAGACCCCGGCACTACACCGGCGCGGCGCGGCCCGGCCCGCTCTTCCCAACTCTTCCACTACCCCTGAAGCGCAGATGGGCCTGACGCCCCAACCCCGCCTGCGGCGGGCAGCCGCGGGCCGCGGCCCGGAAACGGAAGCGGCGCCTGCGGTGCATTGTGGGCTGGCGGCGGCTGAGGCGGAGCTGGGTCTGAATGAAGGCGCCGCGGGCGAGGGGCCGTTGAGCGCCCTGAGGCCGACCCGCTCCCCGCGTCTTTTTCCTCCCTTCCTTTCCCCGGCGGGTGGGCAGCGGCCGCCCGGGCCCCGCCATGTCCTACAACAAGATCCCGCCGCGCTGGCTCCACTGCCCCAGGAGGGGACAGCCCGTGGCAGGTGAGCGCCCGGCGCGGCCCGGCCCGGCCCGGCCCAGCCCGGTCCTGCCCTGCCCTGCCTTGCCTTGCCCGGTTCCGCCCTGCCCGGGGCGGCGGTCTGGTACCAGCGGGGGCGCCCCCTCGCCCGCCGCTTTTCTCCTGTGCCCGCCGGTCCCCTCTTTTCTGCAGCGTCGTGGGACGGGCGGTGGCTCCCTTGGGGCCACTGAAGCCCCTCCGGGCTCTCCTTGACCTGTGCCGCGGCGGTGCTGGTGCGGGGCTGTTTTCCCCCATGCGCTCCCTGGGCCGGTGCTTGTCCTGGAGCTGCTTTCCCGTAGGACGGCTGTTCTACTTAAAGCCCAGCCGGCAGCAGGGCTCTGCCTTCAGCGCAGAGGCTCGCTTTCTGTTTGGCTGGTGCAATTCCTGGGACCGATTCTCCCGACCCTCCTGCAGGGGTATGGGCCCTCTCCTGCTCTCAGGAGCCTTAATGCTGAGTTCTGACTTTGCACTAAGATTTTTCCCACCCGTTACGTCTAATGAGCGAGACGGCAGCCGGGTGTGCAGAAGCTCCTGAAGTGGAGCCATATCTCAGCCCTGACCGGTTCCCTTTACAGCCTCTTCCTTGGTTGCTTTCTTTTCCTGAAGGCTCCGATGATTATGAGTGTTGGTCTGTTAACTGGGCTGACTGACAGTGACCTGTTAGTCACTAGTGCATTCCTAAGCTGCTTAGCTGGAAGATGTTTAAACATTGTGCTCCAGAGTTTCATGTGTGTTTCACGCATGTGTTGGTGATTGCCGTCATCTTGGATATTCTTACCTGTAATACACTGTCTCGATTGTTGGTAGGTATCTAGTCTTGCTGCATCTGGTGGCAGTGAATTAGGCCTCACGTAAACACGTTTTTTGATTGTGAGTTAACTACCATATTGACTTAGGGTGAATGTTTCTCTTGCTGCCTGGTATGAGGTAAAATAAACAAGCTTTGCTGTTTCCGCTTTTCTCAAGTTCTTCTTTACAAGATAAGCAATTGCAACCCCTAGTCTTCTCCCTACAATGTTTTCTAGTTCTTACTTCTATCATGTTTCTGTCTGCAGTAATTTAAAGGTATTTTTACAAAACTCAGCAGTTGCTGCTGTTCTAGATGGTACTATGCCATGATTTGCTTAGTAGTTACAGTTCTTACATTTTTCTATCCCATATTTCTACATCATCATCTTATGTTTTTTTACATTTGATTGTGAAACTGAAGACCCTGATGAGTGTTTACGAGTTTATTTAGAACCTATTGAGACATCTCAGGCTTAATCTTCCCATCAATATGCATTATTTGGCATGTCAGTATTTAATGTTGGTTGTTCATTTTGTATGTTTGCTGGTTTCCCTTGAGTTCCTTATATTTCTCTGAACTTGACTCAGTTAAATAGCAGCATTGCTGTATTGTCTCCATTATCTCTTTTTCCTGATCACTGGCAAATGCATTGCTTTGTATCTAATAAGAGATTTGATAGCCTAAATTGTTAGCCTTTGGCCCCAACAAAAATAGACTAATGACTCTATTCTTTGTTTTACTTCTCAGCAAGTTCTTGATCTCTAGAAGGTGTCTCTTTTGTTTGTTTGTCTGTCCTTTAAGCCATGGCTTCTCAAAAATAGCAGCATAGAGTAAGCAAGAATACAGGTCATCAGCATGTCATCTGCTGTGCCATCATTGCTCGTGTGTTTGTTTATTCAGTAACTGCAAGGTAATTCTTTTCCATTCAGTGTGATCATCCACAAGAAGTTACTGCACAAAAAAAAAGTGCTTGGTTCATTTCTTTGGCTGCTTTATTGTAATGTATTCTTATATTAGTTCACCCGATTTTTAGGTCTTTAGAGTGAACAATTTACCAAAAGTCATAATACACCATGAGTTTTCTCTCCTGTTATTTTGCTATTTTATATTCAAAGACATCTAACACCTTTATAGAGAATTTTTTAGAGTTTGATGTTGGTATTGTCTCTGAGGTGTGTTATAGTCTGGTTTTAATTAGCATTTCAGTCAAATTTCTTAGCATCTGTTCATGACTTTATTCCCATCTGATAGTGTAATAGTAATGATGTTGCTGGGCAAGGTTTGTCTGGCTTCTGTGGACTGATGCTCATCAAGTGTTTGGTCGCTCTTGTCTTATGGCTCTGGCATGTAGAATTTCCAGGTGAGCTCAAATACAAGTACCAATGAGGCTTGGAGCTCTTCTCTTGGTGAGATTGGGTTCATTCCGGTTAACAGGACCCTTCATCCTGAATGAGGTGAATTGATCTACATCTCCCATTATTTTCCAGTTTACTTCTTTAAATCTTGGTGATTTTCTGCCACTTTCTGGTTTTATGCTTAATCAGAATGGCACATTTTCACATTCTTGTATTGTGGTAACACCTCAGTACTTGATGAAAAGAGCTTTCTCTGAACTTTTAGATCTGAAGTGATCAGGTTGTTTCAGCCTTACTTCCTTGTCATTGCCGTGTCTGGACGTACCTGCTTTTTATACCCACAGAAAACCCAGTTCATTTTGGTTTTCCCATGGAAAGTGCTAGCAAGATACTGAAGGAGAGACATGAGAAGTGTCTCAGCAGTGTCTCCTATTGATTCATGTTAGTTAAACCCGTTCTAGATGTACATGCAGAACAGTGATATTATTAAAATCATCCATACTGCAAGTGGTTATAGAGACAGCAGCTCAAAAGGAAGAGTAATGTCTCTGGTTCAGGAAGTTGCTGAGCTATAGCTTGTAGGTGGGGAGAATAATCCAGTGATGGATTGTCATTGTCATTGTTTTAACACTTTCCTAGGCATCTGTTTTGGTAATGAGATACTAGGTGAAATGGATGCCTTGACCCGGCGTAATTGTTCTTGGAAACAGAAGACAGTTACTTTTTAGGGTGGTGATGTTTTTGGTCTTGTGTTTTTTGATTGTAGATTTTACTGTTTTGTTTTATTCAGGTCTCCGTTTCTTAACCTTGTGCATGTTACAGAGTCTAGCCTTCCTAATTGGTGCTCAGTCTAAGCATACCATGGTTGTACATTATTAGTGACTGCTGTCACCTATTGAGTCGATAGCTTCCTGTCACAGAAAATTAGACTAAATTAAGGGTAGCATTTCCACTGGCATGCTCTAGGATTCAAATGTGCCAAAATGAGAGCATGTATATGTTGGAAATGTGGCGTTTTATGTTTTTCACTTTGACTTCTCTTGGATTTATCCACTTGATATTCTCACATACTGGGCTGTTATTTTTAGAATTTTTACATATTTTTCAGCCTGAAGAAAAAACATCTGTTATACAGGTAACTAATTTGGAAAATGGTTTTTAATATGCACTTTCCAAAACTATTTGACAAATTTGAAGTGAATTAATGTATTTAAACAAGACCAAAATGAAATGACAAAAAAGAGACGTTGTCATAATCTGATTATAAAATTGCCCTAAATTTGAATCAAATAGGAATTCACTGCCGTCTTCTAGACTTAGCAGGCATCTTGTTTGTTTGTTGACATATAAACTGTTTCTCAGTGATACAAACTGGAATTTGTAGAAGTTGGGCATCTAAATGCTTCTAAAGATCTGGGTTTGATCTTTAGAAGTGACAGTAAATGGTCTCTATTATAATTCTTATCCCTTCCACAGCTGTGTAAAGGTCTTCAAATGCTGCAGGGGATGCTGACTAAACTGTCTTTTCTTGGTGATGAACAGGAATGTATTATGGTTGCTCAGAAGGAAATCAAAATGCAAATCAGACACTAAATCAAGGACCACTGCTGAGAAGAGAATGAATGTGTTTGTTTTCTCTTCTTAAGATGGAGAACATAAGAGTCTTCAGTGCAAATATGCAGTCACTAATCAGATCCTACAGGAAATGATCTTAACCTTCAAGCACTGTCTTCCAACTCTATTCTCTTTTCCTGGCATCTCATAAAGGATGGTAGTTTTCTTTTGTATCCGTTGACTCTTTTGTCAGTAAAGGTCCTTTTCTTGAATGCCTTGGCTAAGGAAAGTTAATTACATTCTTCATGTTCTGTAATGAGTGAGTGGATGTATTGGGATGGGAGTGACAAAGTTATAAAACCTTTGAAGCATGCTTGGTGTTTTGCAAAACTTATGTTGATGGTAGATTTTTGCATTAAGATCATCCAAAATTAGGATTTGCATAATCAGTCTGTACAGAGGAAGATTACAAGTTAATGTGGAAGGGTTAATAGTGAGTGAGAGAGGCTGAATGATAGGGCTGAACATGACAAGGAACACAAAGAAGAAAGAAAATTAAAGCAGATAGGTCAATAAATGAGGAAACGGAGAAGTCGACCCAATTGTTGTGGCTAGGGAGGAGGATGTGTAACTGGTGGGATAAAAAGGCAAAGGAAGTAAAGTGAAGATTTCTTCTAACAGTCAAATAAATTTAAGTGACTTATAAATTCACTGTGTATGTTGACTGCACGACTGCATAACTTCTATCTGTAAAGTTTGGAATGGTCTCAGTCAGATATGATAGTGAGGGTGTTTCTAATGTCAAACCTGAGCTAACATGTTGTGTAAAGCTTCTCAGTTTCCATAACTATGTCTTTTGTGGTTTATAATGTCCCTTTCCTAGAAGTTAAATACTTATTTTAGACTATATAA